CAGCCGCCCCCGCCCCCTCTCCCGCCGCCTCCTCCTCTCCCTCCTCTCCCTGAGGTAAAGGTAACAACGGCCGCCGCAGCCCCAACACCTGCTCCTCCTCCTCCTCCTCCTGGCGTTGTTCTACTAAACCTAAGCTGCCGCTAGGCTCCCCCTGCAGGGAGCGACCGGAACGCCCCCCGACTGACTCCCGTCCCCCCCCTCCCGTCCTCAAAAAAGCTCTCCAGCGCGCCAACCTCTTGGATGACTAGCGCCACTGCTACTCCACAAGAGGCGCCCCCTCCCACGAGTCTCGCGAAGCTTTGGGGCGAGTGGCAGCAGGTGGCGGGAAAGGGAGGGGGTGTCTTTCATGACCCGCAGCAGAGGGAAGTGTGGGTCGTAACGTCATGGTAAGCACGCCCCCCCTTTGCGGGTTTACTCGCAAGTAAATCCCGCTGCGGTATAGTCTCAAGAGGACACGACAAAGGCCAGTATCACAGAGCAAAGATCCAAGCACCTTTAAGAATAAGAGATGTGCGTGTGACCTTAGCGCGTGTTTTCTCAAATGCGTGGAGTATAAATAATTTCAGAACTGCAGCAACACAGAAAGAGTGGGGGACGTGTGTGTGTGCGTGTGCGTGCGTGTGTGTGTGTGTGTGTAGTTACGTCGTCTAAAAGGGCATGGTGAGTGGATTACAACGCACTAACATGCTGTAGTACACCCGCTTTTAAGCTGTCACAGTATACAGTACTTTGTCCTTTTCGGGTAAAGGAGTACAGTATGGAGAGGAAGTACTGTATTCTGAAACTAATGGTTGTTGTGGGTTTTTAGGGCTCTTCCTGAGTTTCTTCAGTCTCTGTGGCTGGCATCTTCAGAGGACAGAAGTAGGATCTCTGTCCGTGAGCCTGTCCTCTGAAGATGCCGACCACCAGAGACTGGCGAAACATCAGGAAGTACAACCTTCAGAACACGGCCAAAGAGCCTGAAAAACCCACAACAACCATCAGATCCCGGTAGTGGAAAGCCTTCACGAATACATATTCTGAAACTCTTAGGTGAGAGGGTAATGGATCACGGGCAGCCTTTCAGTAGAGGCCTTGATTTTCAAAGACTCTCCTACCATTCCTGTACACTATGCGTGCTTACTCACTGTGCCCACTGAGTTTGGTGGGGGCAGATTCTCGGGCAAACGTGTAGATGAACCATACAATAGAATTACGAGGACCAAAGGAGGAGGGTGCTTTCTCTGAAATTTCGGAGTATAACACCTTTTCATTCCATCCATGAGGTGATATTAACTAGAATTTTACACATGTATTCTCAAGTAAGTTGTGCTGCTTATCATCTTCACTTGCTTTGAAAGCAGAATACCTTGCAAATCATAGGGAGTTTCATTTCTGAGACATTGCTGGGGATTGTTGTTGTTGTTGTTGTTGTTGTTGTTGTTGTTGTTGTTGTTGTTGTTGTTAGGGGAGGCTTCCTTGGTTGGGAGCCATAACAGCGAAAAGGTCAGGCTAAACAAGAACTGCTGGATAGCTCGGTGGTTTAGGCATCAGCAGTTGGGAGTTCAATTCCCCAGTGTGCCTCCTTGAGAGGGGCTGGACTCAGTGATCCATAGGAGCTCTTCTAGCTCTGCAGTTCAAAGGTTGTTTGTTTGTTTGTTTGTTTGTTTGGTTGTTGTTGTTGTTGTTGTTATCATTATTATTATTATTATCATTATTATCATTATTATCATTATTATTATTATCATTATCATTATTATTATTATTATTATTATTATTATTATTATTATTATTATTATTATTATTATTATTATTATTATTATTATTATTATTATTATTATTATTATTATTATTATTATTATTATTATTATTATTATTATTATTATTATTATTATTATTATTATTATTATTATTATTATTATTATTATTATTATTATTATTATTATTATTATTATTATTATTATTATTATTATTATTATTATTATTATTAATAATAATAATAATAATAATAATAATAATAATAATAATGATAATGATAATAATAATAATGATAATAATCCTAATGGTATATCCTGCAAGCTGCATATCCTGGCAACCAGAATTGCAATTTAAGTCTGTAGTTACCTCTTGGTGGCCAATCACAAAACAAACAAGGTAATCTGAAAGATACAGAGATGACAACAACAACAAAGGAGCAGCACATACTAGAACAGATTTTTTTTTAAAAAAAAACCCTAATATTGAAGCACCACTTCTTCATACCATCTAAATGTACTTCTCGTTTGACCCTAAACCATAGAATTGCAATTTAAGTCTGTAGTTACCTCTTGGTGGCCAATCACAAAACAAACAAGGTAATCTGAAAGATACAGAGATGACAACAACAACAAAGGAGCAGCACATACTAGAACAGATTTTTTTTTAAAAAAAAACCCTAATATTGAAGCACCACTTCTTCATACCATCTAAATGTACTTCTCGTTTGACCCTAAACCTGCCATCCTGTACACCAGGGGTCTCCAAACTTTTCACTATGAGCGCCACATAATATATTTTCGAGGGCCAAAGGAACGCGTGTACACACACATACACCTGCCTACACATGCCCACACCCACACCCACGCACACACATGCATGCACGCATGCACGGGCTGGATAAAAAGGCAACATGGGCCGGATGTGGCCCGCGGGCCGTACTTTGGAGACTCCTGCTCTACATGGTGAAAGGGGAGCAAATTCTACTGGATTTAACACGGCTTGATTCAGAGTATACATGTATGCCTTTGAAGTATACACTAAATGAAACTACTTTGAATGACTGTGGGCAATAGAAGTGCAGTGCCAAATCAACTCATCAGTCAAAATAATAGCTGACATGTCTTTTTGATATATTAAAAGAACTGTTTCACTTAATGAAAACAATAAAGATTCTTTTGGCTCTTAAAGACTAACAAAATTAACCTTAACATGAGTTTTTGTGACCCATGTTAAGAAAAATGTGTTCATCGTTAAGATGCCACACAACAGACTGACCTCAGCCATCCCTCTGGAATGTCTCACTCAAAGAGGCAGTGACTTTTTAAAAAGTTATTTTTAAATACACAACAAAAAGAATAGGCAACAGGAGAGTTCCCAGATAGCAGGGCTGCTAATGCTGCCCAAGGACATTGCACAGCAGTTCCTTGTTTCTTCATGAAGGATTCCCCCACCCCCAATTTTTTGGAGGGAGCAGCTGGAGAATCTGAGACCCCCATGAAAATCTGTGAATGAGACAATGTTGTGTGTGTACATTCAAATGCTGCATGCATCCCTGGTGGGCAGCCTTGAATACCTTTCCCCCTCCAAACCAGGGCTAGCCCTAGACATTTTGCTTCCTGAGGTAAAGGACAAAATGGCATCCTCTTATCCATACAGAAAACTACTGATGTGGCGGTTCAGTTTTACTTCCCCCCAATGATAGGGGCCAGGGGAACCTGTGTTGTTTCCTTCTGTAGATATTTTGAATGAAAGCTGAGGGCATGTTAATTGAGGATCATTTAGCTGTTATTTAACTATAAAATGTTTATCTTGCCTACCGATTACATCAGTAGGCAAGTGTAATGTGTAGAGGACACAGTGTTAGACTCAGAATGGGAGATTGTTCTGATGATGCAATTGGAAAATATTGTATACCACCTGGGCGCTTTGGAGGAATAGTGGGTCATAGACAAACATAATAGAGAGATATGAGCAGCCTTAGATGTGACTCAGATAAGATGGGCCCTGTGCCTTATGTAGCCTTTAGAAAATTTTCCTCAGTCCAAAGTCTTAAGAGTATGTAAAAGCAGGGGTTATGGGTTTAAACTAAAGGAACAAATGTGCTCAATGCCTTGCCACACAAAAACAGCACACAAAAT